TCGACATACTTCTCATTTTTAGTACTGCCCAATTATTGCTCGCCCTGTTGTTAATAGTTTCAGATTCCCATAATTTTCAAATCGCAACTTTGAAAGAAACTGAAATAAGCCTGTTGTAATCTTAGATGACTCATAAATCATTGCACTTTCCTCGTTTGAATAAATTATATTTGCTTTACATTAAAACGGCTTTTTTTTTCTAGCTGAAAATTATAATCGCGATTCTTCCGTTGGCACCCAAGTGCCTCCAATGTGTTGTTTAATTTTAAGTTGCTTTTATGTTCATATAATTTCTTTTCAGGATGTTTTGTCAAGGCTATTCTGGAGGAATTGTTTACATTCCTTGTTGTAAACTCTTGCTTCTGGGGGGAAATTAACTCTCTCGGTTTAATATTGATTAAATCTTGAATTGCATTTAGTGTGTGTGTGTGTGTGTGTGTGTGTGTGTGTGTGTGTGTGTGTGATAATGTGATTAGCTAAATGCCTCTCTAGTTTATTAGTTATGGAATTTACAGGCAATATATTGCAGCTATTTTTTTTTGCTGTTATTTTTTTTTTCTTTCTATAATTATTTTTTTTCTTTTTGGTGATTACGTATGCTTTACTTTTAGCAATTAATATCTTGAATATTGAGGGATTTAATATATATATCTTCACTGTAACAGGCCATTTAAATAAAAATGGAGTTGAAATTCGTTAAAATCGAATTTGCCTAACGATAATAAGAAGAGTAAACATCAAAAGCATTCGGACGTTAAAACACGAAATCGCATCTCGTCTCGCTAAGGTAAATTTGTGTAATTTTTATTGTTGTAAAATCAAAAAAAATATTTCTTTAATGACACCAGATCAGAGGCGAAATATATCAATGTAATTTTGCCAAATTGTTTCTTTTTATGCATTTTTCAATTTCGTTCGCGTCTCATCAAACTTGAATCACATTATATATATGTGTGTGTGTGTGTATATATATATATATATATATATATTATACATTATATATATATATATATATATATTATACATTATATATACACATTATATATATGTATATATATAATATCGCTCATTGAGTGTTGATGTTGATAAAACTTTTTTCTTTTATTTTTTGACGTCTAAGAATAGAAAGTTTACTGAAACAAAACAAGTACAATTGATCACTGATGACAATTCCAGAACAACGTAATAATAAACAATTTTTTTTCTATCCTCTTCCAGCCGCAATGATGGCAAAATATATATTACCACGAACCATCGCCATTGAGACACGCTGCAAGAGCCACTCCGTAATAATAAACAATTTTTTTTCCTCTTCCAGCCGCAATGAGGCTCGTCCCTTAATCGAGACGAGGCTCGTCCCATAATCGAGACGCAATCGCGCCAATCCTCCGAAGGAACACCATCGAACGAGGGTCAATAACCCCTAAAGTCTCCACCGCCACAGGAGTAAAAAAAAATCTATCAGCAAGAGAAGAATATTTAAATATTTTTTTCATCTCTGCGTCCCGGGCGACGGATCCTGGCTCAACCGCGGAACTGATCAAATTACCGACCGAAAATGTTGATAAAATAGTGGTCGATGCAATATAAGAGAACTATGAACTATATATTAATAAGTATACAATTTTCCTCACCGATAGCATGACTCAGTGTTTCATGTACAACTCAATCTTCGGGCTTTAAACTGATATATATATATATATATATATATATATATATATATATATAGGAATAAAGATGTCAACACTGTCGTTTGAATATAGATCGTCAGTGAGCAAACACAAGCGATCCCATTATTAACCATAGGGGAAACGCATACATGGGAGTATAAAAATGCTACCCTCATATTTGCTCTGTTTTTTTTAATCTATCCTCTGTTACTATTCGGACCGCTAATCTCTAAACTATTTCTCTATACTGATCACTATTCGGTGGTGACTATTCGAGAGAGTATTATCGTGCAAGTACTATTAGTGAGAGTGATATTCGAAGGCGTCTGACACCAGCATTGTTCAACGCTCGTACTATAGTTGTATCTGCGATTACAACGTTTCTACTAAATCGATCATTACGAAAGTGACAACGAGTATTCGTTGACTTCATAAAAGGCATTTTCCATAGGTGACGCACGCTGGGATCGATCTCGATCCATTCCGATAACATCAGGAAGTGGAATTTTCCTTCCTGATAAATCGACCCTGGGGAGATTCAAAAACCTCTCGGCCACGAATATATATATATATTATATTAATATTACCCGTATTTTAAAGATTTGAATAGCTATTATAACATGATTTCGTTGTCAAGCTTTTGAATCTTCCTGTACTTGGGTTTTGATTGGTCATTCTAGCTTTTGTAACAATGTTTTCCCCTAGCGAAGGATCGTTAATTAATTTGAAACTTTTAAAACCATTTATTTTATCTTCAACATCATCACTTGATAAGACACCGGGGGTGTTGAAACAAAATGGCTATTTTTGCAGTGATTTTATAACATATT